CTTGTGACAAATATTTGATCAATATGTTCCTCAGCTGTCTAACTTTCCTCTCCCTTTCATCTTTTCCTTTCCCTCTGCCTTCATAAGATATAAGCTTATAAAACATACTTCATAAATATGTTTTCTAAAAACAGTAAATTGACTCTAGAAGTACTGGTTATCCAATGCCTTTGTAAGTGTATCTTAACAGAAAGGTTGTTGTTTCAAATGATTTGCCACAGAGAGTTCTCATTTCCTTTTTTTTAACTGAATAGGTAAATGAAAACTCAGTAGTTATGAAAATATGAATTCAACGTTAGCATTTCTTAGGAAAGAAATTGAAAGTATTCCCTTATACTGCTGAAGAAGCCCATGATTCCCCTTCAGTTTTAAATCTTTGAGAGTTAAACTAACATTAGATGATACAAATTACAGTATCTGCAATATCAATAGAATTTAATATTTAGTTGAGTTGTACATGTAACCAGAACTATTTATTTTGAGTGTTTGTATCAGCTGTTACTTTAGCAACCTATTAACACATAACTATTATTAAAACTTTTTTGAACTATTGACAGATAATTTGTCCAAGTAGCTTTTTGCTAAAATGTAGGAGTAACAGTCTTGTCTGAGAACTCCTGTCATCTCTAGTTATTCGTGTTATCTCATGTTATTCATGTTAAAGTTTACCTTGGATGAAAAAAGTTCAGAGTCTGTTCTCCCTTTCCCTTAACAGATGTAGCCCAGTTCTGAGCTGCATGTATACACCAATAATTGTTTGAAAAGTTTATTAGTAGTTCCTGTTTTCTTTGTGGATTTGGTGTGTTGTACACATAGGTTCTGAGCTCCACCAAAGAGACATTGGAATTATGAAATAGCTGTTGAGTTATTTTAGCACGCAAAGTACTTGATGCGATACATAAAAGGCCATAATGTGCAGTGATTTGTCGGCAGTGATTAGTATTTGTGTGCAGTGATTAGCATAAATGGTGCTTATAGAACTGTTTCCTCCCCTTCTCACAGCTATCCCATTCAAAACTGGGCAGGTGCCAGTTTATTCAGAGCTTAAAGCTAAACGTGGAGCAAAGCTGGTTTTTGGAAGTGCTATATGGGCCGGTGTCTTGAAGATTGTGGTCCTGGGAATCTGAGCAGGTTTTGGTTTGGGTTTTTTTGGTTTGTTTTTTCCCTCTCATCATTCCCAAGTTATTTACACCAGGCAGATGCAGTAAAGTAAAATGAACAATGTTTATGACCAAACTTCTGTGCAGAGTTGGACGTTTACTTCATAGTAAGCTTGCTGTTTTGTTTTGTCACTGGAACAGATTGCCCAAGGAAGTTGTGGCTGCTCCTCCCTGGAAGTGTTCAAGGCCAGGTTGGATAAGGCTTTGAGCAACCTGGTCTAGTGGAAGGTGTCCCTGCTGCTGGCAGGGGGGGTGGGGCTGGATGAGCTTTAAGGGCCCTTCCAACCCAAACCATTCTATGACTCTTTGATTTGTTACTGAAGAGGGAGAGTCAGTCATAGTAAGAAGTACACATATTTTTAATGAAGTATTTGTAGGAAACTTTGTGCAGATTCAATGGTTTACTTGAAGGAACAGTTCTGTCTCAGTTTCTGCTCTGTAGAGATAAGTTTTTTTAAAAAAGGAAACGCTGCTGTTAAACTAATTTTTTTCATTTATTTTTCCTTCACATAGGATTCAGTTTTCACGAGCAATCTGTGTTTGCTGTAATCATTGACTGCCAGTTTAATGTCAGTAGAAAAATAGTTAATCTGGTGATGAAGAGTGTATTTGAAAAAAAACCCCTTATCTGTATAATAAGCAATTCTTGCATCTACAATGTGTGGCTGCTTGCCAAGACCCCTGCCTCCTCTTTTCTTCTCTCCACAAATCTTTTGGTTTTCAGTTGGTATTCCTTTTTAGAAACTCATAATTTGCTTTCTTGGAAAATTCCCATATTGTATCCTCTTCATTAAAACTGTAGTTCACTCTTTAATAGTAGCATGAGGAAACGTGTGTACAGTGGACTGATGCTTGTTTTACTACTGTCCATGCTTCCTGTAGTACAAGACAAGATCTGATATCCAGGCCATCTTTTTGTTACTTACCTGATCAAGCAATTTAGTCAGTATGTGACTAAACTGGATTTACCCAGTCACTAAGATTATTATTTCTCATTTACTAAATGTCTTTTTAGCCTTTGCAAGATGCAGAGCATCTTGTATAATTACTTCTGTTTCATAGAGGTAATGGCACACAAAGACACACCTAATTTAGTTGAGTGGAACCACTTAGAAAATGGTTGGATCCAACTGGAAAATAGAGTTAACTTGATTTGGTTTTAGACAAATTTGTACTTAATCTGTATAGAGTCAGTTCATTTTACCTCTGTCTTGTGAAATATACTACAGGATGGAAATAGCCTTGTGTTTGTGTTCAGTCTGTTGTTTCTTGCTATATAATTAAAAAGTAAACATTTTCCCAACACTTTATCTCTGCTTTCTTTAGATGGCTGCAAAATACTTACTACTCTGATCTTGTTGAAAGAGTATTTATAGTTTATCTGTTTTATATACCTAATGACCACTAAAAACACGTTGTGGATTAAAATTTCTGTTGTCCCTCTTTGGATTTTAAAGTGAAATTGTGAGTGAGAGCAGCGTTGGAGAGGATCAGTTATGTGCTGTTGTCACGGTCAGCTAAGTTGTGATCACCAATAAAAAACCTAATGTGTGAGTTAGGTTTGATTCTGAAGCTTCCTACTAACGTCTTCCTAGTTTAAAGCACAGTGTATGTTCTTGAGAGCCTCCTCTTCTTCTGCCAAAAAGAAACACAAAACTGTTTGCACAGGTGTAGGAAACAAATGAAGAAAAACTGGTTTGTTGATTCTCCTCATGAGTCTGAATAAATATGGTTGTTCCTTCTCCCTCCACTGTGCTCTGCACTGCGTGAGTTTCTGCAGTGGGTAGGCAGTTTGATGTCCAGATAGGCTTATTGTAGGGGGGAGGCAGTATGGTGAAAAATTACTACAGGTGACTTAGAATAATAGTTTTGAGGATTATGACCTGCAGAAAAGAATAAAAACAGAATGCTGCAAGCAGAGTTTAAATTTATTACTAATATTTTAGCAATAGAAAAGAATGGATGCATTAGAAACAAAAGATATTAACTGGAAAAATTTTTGTAGGGTGAGTTTTAAATATCCCCCTGCTTGCTAGGTGTGTGTTTCTACTGAAAAGCCTTAGCAATGCCTTTATTAATTTTGATATATTGTAGTACAAAACAGATAATAGTTAAGAGGCTGTTGCTAGTTAACTTTCAAACCCTGGCATTGACCAAAGACTCAAAGCAATAAAACTTTCAGATTAAATCCAGTTCAGCTGAGACAGAAATTGTTCTGCCTTCCTCCAATTCAGTTACCCACAACCAGTTTAGCACTTCAGGGTGTGGAAAGTAGTATTTCTGTTAAAAATTGGAATTGCCATATGACAGTAGACTTGCTGCATAGGGTTTTGGCTGGAAAGAAGTTTGTTCTGCTCACATGCTGGAGTACAAGCAGGCAGAGATAAATCCCATGTTCTCTTGTGTAGATGGAGGTGGGGGGGGGAACTAATAACCAGAAGTATTTTCTTTCTTGGGGCAGTGATGATTTAACATTGCTTTAAATGTGTGTCAGTTGTAGTATTATTTTGAACAAAGTTTCTTCTTTTAGGGGGATAATTTTTTTGTGACTTTACTGATCTGCATCAGACACCAAAGGAAACGTTTGTTTCAGTCTTTATAGCAGTTTCCAAACACTGAGAGAGTCAGGAAATGAGTTAAAATACGAGATTAAATGTTTAGATGAATTTTGAGAAAGAGGTAAAATACAGGCTGTGTCCAAAGGAGTATGAACCAAGACTAGAATTTAAGGTCCTTCTTGCTGCTGATCCTGAATACAGCAGGTCTGTAGCTTGACTTCTTCATTTCTCACCAACCTGTGTCACCAACCAGGTTTTAAACTTACCTATACATCAAAATTGCCCTCATGTAATAAAATGTTATTTAGTGAATCTGAAGTATCTTTGTAGATAAGTGTTGTTTGGGTTTGTTTTTTTTTAAAATATAAAGTAGATATCTGCAAATAGATCTTAGTTAGTCCTGAACTGTTACTTCTGAAACACAGATTTGTTAAAGTAATCCAATGCACTATTGCTAGAGAAACTTTAAAATACATACTAAATACTTTGTGATAATCTGCTCTGTCTCAAATGGTCAACAAAAGCTGCAATTCTTTTATAAAAGAAAAAACAAACAAACCACCACACTTTTTTCTTGCCTTGGTGCCCTTTCTTTAATGGGTTTTAATTCAAATAGTCCTGTGAGTGTGAATGTAGTAGTGAAAAGTCAGGAAAATGGTGTGTTTTCACTAAAGTTACATGATTTGTCCAATGTCTTTATGGAGGTTTGAGGAAAGACTAGAGGTCTATAACTGCTTTTGTACCTCCTGGGTAAAGTCTTGGTGATGTTAAAGCAGCTGTGAAAATAGAATTGACTCCATTCTAATTCAAAGTCCATGAAATAAAATGGAATCTTAGAGTGATTTTGATTTTGATTTTAGAGTGATTTTGATCTTGATTTTAATGGAATCTTAGAGTGATGCAGGAGGTGCAGGAAGATAACCTGCACCTCCTGCACTGAAGCGACGTGTGACCATGCTTGTAGCAGACCAAACCAGTGATGTTTTGTAATTATGAGCTGCTTCCCTCTTGGGAATAGCTCATATTTTTATTTTCCCTGCAAGCATTCAATATGACTGTATTTTCAGATGTACTCTCTGAACAGTGTTATAAATACTTAGTAGTATAACTACTACCACACATGAGAATATTGTTTTGTTTTGCTACAGTAATTATCAAACAACCAACCATGAGGGAACCATTGAATGATACAGAACTAATTTGATTGAGTTTTGTATTGTTCTCTTTTCTTTCTCCAGGAGATCCATGTACAGTTTCTTCTCAGCTGGAGTTAGAAGAGGCCTTTCGGTTGTATGAACTAAACAAGGATTCAGAGCTTCTAATTCATGGTGTGGTGAAATTTACTATATTACTTCTCACATTTGTACCAGTGAATAAATAGAATCTTTACCTTGCATTATCTGTGTCTTCTGTACAGCTTCCTCAATTAAATCCTGTTGGGTATTCTGTTAAGAGGGTGCTGAAGACCAAGTACCAAGCTTTTTAGCTGTCAGCACTTTATCAGTGTTCTTTATTAAATTAGGGGAGGAAAAAGTACTTCACTATTAGTTTAGTAGTGAAAGACAGACCCTCTTTCATTCATTCATCCCAAGTGCCTTCATACACTTGCTGGCAACAAATGGTAGAAGATGTATAGTACAGTGTGCTACACTTTGTTATTAATAAAGTGCTTTAGAGCAGCATCTATATTAGGAAAAAAAGATTTTGAGCTCCATTTGTGATGCCATATTAGTCAAAAGTTTGACTTTTCCAAAATTAAGTAGTTTAGAGCAGTTTTGAACCTAATAATATCGTGCCCCTCTTTGATGTGTAATTGTTAAATTTTTATTTTTCAGGGTTATATGCCTATTTTAGTAGCTTCTGCAGCATATTTGTCTTTACTGTCTGTAACTTTTTACAAGTAGAAGATAGATTTCAGTTTAGCAGAGATAATAGCAGAAAAGCAGGGGATCAATGCAAAGAGTGTTAGTGGGTGTGTTACACGACAATATCTTAACATGGTCCTTCTCTAAAAAACCCAGTTCACTATCAGCTTAAGAAGAAAGAGACAGCTTTTCAGCTTCTCAGAGACTTTTAAAAACTGTAAGAAGAATGTAATCTGTTTATATATATATATATATTTTACTGTTTCTGTATATATTACTTCAGTGTGCTTTTTGATCTGCCCTGTGTCCATTTATTTTTGTGTTTGATAAGCTTCTGATTGAACCAACACCAGGGCTGTCTCTCCTCAGTTTTACTTCTCTCTGAAGCTAAAGAAAAGGGAAAAAAATGGTTGATGCAGACAAGATCATCTGTAGCTGCTGGGACACTGTAGTATGTTTATAGTCAACTTTTCCAAATAGTGACTGTGATGATTAGTCACATAAGAAACCAGATTTGTTATTTATTTCTAGTTACTTTCTTTAGAAAATAACTTGGTTTATTCTGCTTTTTGCTTGTATTATTTATATGTATCACTGTTATGTCCAGCAAAAGAGTTTTGTGGCAGCTTTTCAGCTCACCTGCTCTTGCACAATGTTTTGTTAAAATGCAGTCTGTGCTGTCTTCCCAAATGATTGAATGCCTTTCAGAAGTGTTGTATTTAACCCAAAGGTTTATTTTCTGTCTGAAACAAAAATTAATCAGAAGTTAATGTTTCTCTTGCAGTATTTCCCTGTGTACCAGAACGGCCTGGCATGCCTTGTCCAGGAGAAGATAGTAAGTAGGCATTTTAGTTAAGAAGTAATAGAAAATCAAGAATTCAGATTTCCTGTTTTAGAAGATTTTTATATTCTATGGTTTGACATTCTACTCTTATGAGTATTAATAATGCAAATATTTACAAATTAAATATTTAAAAGGAATAGAAAGTCTGGCTAAACTTAAATGTTGTTTGTCATTTCTGAATCATTGTTAATAGACATTTTACACTGCTGTTAACTATCCATGTCACTCTGCTTTCCTTGCTTTTGCCTCTTCTATCATGACAGGTTTTTTAAATCCCGTTCCTGTCTTTGTGGTAGTTGTGAGATTGGTGGCTGCCTGGTGTCAGCAAAGACTTGTAAGCACTGGTGGCCAGTGGTAATTTGTTGTATCACGTTTAGAGATCTGTGGTTAATTCATTTTAAATTGATGTTAGGTACTATCAGGAGTATTCTCCAAAAACCTCAAAGTTATGTTAGTTAATGTACTAGGCATTAAAGAGGTCATTATCCCTCTGTCTTAAAGTTTTATAAATGAGCACGTGTATGTTATGCACGCACCCATCTGTCAGCTTGATATCCAGGTCTCTGACAAACATAAATGTGCATGTTTACTAGTTAACTTTGTCAGTGTGGGTAACGGTGCTTTTCTGAAAAAAAAATTGAGGTTGCAGACTGAATCAGAAATAGATCTGCAACTCAGTGTAGTTTTACATATTCTCATTTTCAGTTTTGGTTCCTGACATGCCTCTAGTAGTAATAAATAAATTTATTTTAAAAACCCAAACAGTGGCAGCTGTGGATTTAACACACTGGAGGATTTGTGCAAGCCTTGTAAATCAGGGCATGCTCCTGAAACTGGCTTTCTTTCCTCCTTCCCCACAGCTCCCCCCCAAGCTTAGGTAAGGTAGGTGTGTACTTTGCACACAGGTGTTTGTATTGTTTGGGCAGTTTTGCTTCTCTTGACTCACTGTTCCTTTGAACTTTGGAAAAGCAGAATTAACTTTCAGCTGATCAGGAAATTCTACTTCAGATTTTCTCCAAAATTTCAAAAATTAAAAAGGTACTTGGAACATGACTCTGTCTCTGTATGGTGCAGGAGTGAAACTTTACTCTCAAAGCAAACCACTCTACAGAGAAACGTCCCTGAGAAGATGTTGTAGTTCTGTGTTTATGTTTTTATGGATATAATAATATGTTTTTTCCTCTTAGAATCCATTTATCGCCGAGGCGCCCGCCGGTGGCGAAAGCTCTATTGTGCAAATGGTCACACTTTCCAAGCCAAACGATTTAACAGGGTGAGACTCTCGTTGGGTGCTTAAAACCATGATACAGGGATGTCTTACTTTTGTAATTACAGTGTCACTGCCTTGAAAAATTATAAGGTAGTTTCATTTTGATTTTTGTTGTTTGTCTATAGCATGTAGACTTTTGGTAACCCTGTAGTTTTAGGAAACTTAATTGTTACAAAATCATCAGGAACTTAAAATAATTTAAAAAATTAATAAATTGGTTGCAATTCACTTTGCATGAAACCATGATATCAGTTATATAAATGCTCCCATGTTTGCTTAAAATCTTCCCAGAGGAAAAACTTGAACACTGGTATTAGATGACTATGAGCTGAAAGTACATTTTCAGTTCTCTAAGTTCTGGGAGTAAAAAGGTCTGAATTCGCTTATGATGCACAGACTTTTTTTTTCATGACCTTTAAAGGAAGAACTGAGATGTTTCTCCAAACAGCTTGCTTATGATGGCATGTAATCAACTGAAAATAACAAACCATTTGATGATGCACAGACTTTTTTTTGTCATGACCTTTAAAGGAAGAACTGTTTCTCCAAACAGCTTGCTTATGATTGCATGTAATCAACTGAAAATAACAAACCATTTGTAGTATTTTCAAGAAGAAATGGTCAAATATAGTTAGCTAAGGACCAGAAAGCTACCTGCTATATTTTGAAAAAGCAACAGCAAAAAAGAAACCCAGAATATTTGAAAGAGCCAGGTTCCTTGACAGCTTCAATAATATTTCCTTCTTTCCTAAGCTTAGTGTATTATGTGCTTAATGCTTGAGGTTGTCTCCACTAAACTTCATCTTGAGCATCCTTCATATCTAACTGCTGCTTTTTTCTTTTTTGACCTCATCCTGGTCAAAGGCTGTCAAGGCACCATAGTTTAATCGCTTCCCACTCTTACTTTTGTAGATACCTAGTTTTCATGGTTCTTTTGAATTGTTTTGTGAATGTGAATCAGTGGGTGCTGATCTTCCCATTTCTTGTTAGCTGGTGGTTTAAGTTGTTGAAGCTTTTTCTGTCCTACCTCCCTCTGGACAAATGTAAGGGCTCATCTACGCAGAGAGATTGTGAGACGTGTAGGAAATTAGCCTGGGCAAATCAGCAGCCTGCTGATTGAGCTGCAGTGCTTTTGACCTGCAGTTGGCTCACAGAATCACAGAATGTCGGGGATTGGAAGGGACCTCGAAAGATCATCCAGTCCAACCCCCCTGCCAGAGCAGGAACCTCAATGAGATCACACAGGAAGGCGTCCAGGCGGGTTTTGAATGTCTCCAGAGAAGGAGACTCCACACCCTCCCTGGGCAGCCTGTCCCAGGGCTCTGTCACCCTCACTGTAAAGAAGTTTCTTCTCAAGTTTAAGCAGAACCTCCTGTGTTCCAGCTCACACCCATTGCCCCTTGTCCTACCATTGGGCATCACTGAGAAGAGCCTGGCTCCATCCTCATGACATTCACCCTTAACATATTTATAAGAGGCTGGCTGTGCCTGCACCTTCCCATGTAGATACACTTTCTGTGTGGCAGTTGCTGCTTATTGTTCAGTTGTCATTTTTGAGCTCCTCTATATTGTATCTGCCTGTTTGTCCTTAAAGTTTTCAGACAGATTCTTGGTATAGTGGCAAATTCAGCAGGGATGTCTCTGATCTCCTATCCTGTGTTCTTGTTAATGAAAACATGGCTGAATAGTTTTAATTTTTGTTCTTTAATCAGTTTTGTTGATCTCTCATTCTAGAGAGCTCATTGTGCCATCTGCACTGACCGAATATGGGGCCTGGGTCGCCAGGGATATAAATGCATCAATTGCAAACTCCTTGTTCACAAGAAGTGTCACAAACTTGTTAACGTTGAATGTGGCCGTCACACACTGCAACCGGTAAGTAAAACTTCTCTGAAAAGTTGTCTTTAAAAAGAACAACCTACCAATCAAACAAAAAAAGCTCATTTTATACTAATGGTTTTCAAACTATAGTCTGCAAATAATCACAGTAGGTGAAATATCATTCTTTACAGTACTGTGATGCTTTGTAAGAAGTTTTGGGAATCACTTAACAGAATGAAAACTTAGTGCCATGATGGGAGTCTGACTTTCACATCTTTTACTTTTTCCTGTGTCAAATATAAACATATAAGTGATATTTATCTCATCCTTCACAATGTTATTAAATAGCGCGCATGTTTGTGTGTGTATATATATATATACATACACATATGCTATTTTACATCTTTCAAGTACAGGTAAACTAAATTCTCTTGACATCTGTTAGGTTACTGGACTATTTACCATTTTACAGAAAAGGAGGATTAACTGCAGAAGTTTTGACTTTTCTCCCAAGAAATTAAAAAATTTTTTGGTTCTTAAGTCTCCAGAAAAATTTAGATGATTACTGCTCCTGGTTTAATATTAAAAGCAGGCAGCTACAAGTCTGTATTTTGTGAATTAATTTGGCTAAGATAAGTACTGCTGAAGTACTTGAGCTTTTCTGTCTCATTTCTCATCTGCTATACTACTTTTCTCTGTTGTAATAAGCTGTCACTTCAACAGCTGGAAAGGTGTCATAACTTCTGGAAAATAGCTAAAATAGGGGCTGTAATGATTTCTTTTATTGTGTATGGTTTAGAGCAGTAACTGTTGACTAATCAAATTAAAAAGTAGCTGGATTATATTTCTCAAGGATCATTTATTTCATTTATTGTCTCTAAAATAGTGTCTCTTACACTTGGACAGTCTATTACAAAAGTTCTGTCCATATTTACAGGAACCCATAATGCCTATGGATCCATCATCAGTGCATCCAGATAATGTAGAATCAGGTAAGATTAGTAATTTCTTTTTTAAAATGACTGTAAATTGCTGAAATGGGAACTTTGGGTTTTAAAATGAAACAGAATAAATTCAAGTGAATTACTTTTTAAAACCTTTTTTACTTTTATTTATATTAGAAGAAAAATAAGACAGCTTCTTAATGCTAAGGGGAATAGAAATATAAAAATTCCTCAGTTTTCCACATCTTATCACTTTAAGAAAATTGGCTAAAAAGGAAGAATTTAGGCTGTCAGTTAAATTTTTTTCATCATTAAGCTGTGTACTTTAAATGCTCTGATCAAACCAACAAAAAAAGCCCTTAACACCATCAGCAGAGTTTCTGCTGGATCCGTAGCCAAACGGGTTCATTCTTGTAGCAGTCGGTGGTGGTCTAACATTGGAACGTGGATGTAGGAAATGATCATTTAAAAACCAAACAAAGAACTCTTCTGCACAAGATTCTCATGTGTGTGGAGACAAGATTAATATGAAGAGGTCTCTGAATATGATGACAGGGTTTTATATGAGCCATAACTGATTATTAATGCAGTATTACAGAAGAATGAATTATTCTGATGGTTTAAAAAAACCAAATAAACACCACCAAACCCAACAGTTGTAAGTATTTACAGTAACTGCATTTAACTTGTGTATCTCTCTGAGCTTTTGTGTGTGGAAATTTTAGGACAGAAGAAAATACTGTTGTGTTGCATCAGTCTAATAATTTTTCTTGCACCTCTAGTCATCCCATACAATCCCTCAAGTCACGAGAGCTTGGACCATGTTGGTGAAGAAAAAGAGGTAAAGTATCTTAACCATGCTAACTGTATTCAGAGATCCTGAAGCCTTTGCCTCTCTCAGTTTCAAGATTTTAGTAATTTAACTTGTCACAAACTGAAAACTAGTACATAAAGCATATTTGGGTTCCTCACTCAGGTGTATGCGTGTATGGCTTGCAAGCTGTTTTATTTTGAACCCTGAGTTGAGATGTGCTTTGATTTAGAAAGTATTGCAGACTCCTTCAGTTTCATTTGTTTATCTGCCAAGTCTCCTCTGCCTCCTTCCTTTCCCGTTACATTCCTTTCTAGGACAGTGGAGTTTAAAGAAAAACAAGTGTTAATTGAATCAGTTGTTTATATTAGTTTTGCTGTTCTGTTTGAAATGCAAACTTTTGCAGTTGTTAAAATTGGCAAGCCTTCTTACTAATTTCAAATTATCTTTATCAAAAGGCAATGAGCATTAGAGAAAGTGGCAAAGCTTCTTCCAGTCTGGGTCTTCAGGATTTTGATTTACTCCGAGTTATAGGAAGAGGCAGTTACGCGAAAGTACTGCTTGTTCGACTGAAGAAAACCGAACGCATTTATGCAATGAAAGTGGTGAAGAAAGAGCTGGTCAATGATGATGAGGTAGGCAAGCTTTTTATCAACGCATCAGGGCTGGAGCACCTCTCCTATGAAGACAGGCTGAAAGAGTTGGGGCTGTTCAGCCTGGAGAAGAGAAGGCTCCGGGGAGATCTTATAGCGGCCTCCCAGTACCTGAAGGGGCTACAAGAAAGCTGGGGAGGGACTTTTCATAAGGGCAGTTAATGACAAAACAAGGGGAAATGGGTTTAAACTGAAAGAGGGGAGGTTTAGATTAGATGTTAGGAAGAAGTTCTTCACTGTGAGGGTGGTCAGACACTGGAACAGGTTGCCCAAGGAAGTTGTGGATGCTCTTCCCTGGAAGTGTTGAAGGCCAGGTTGGATGAGGCTTTGAGCAACCTGGTCTAGTGGAAGGTGTCCCTGCTGATGGCAGGGGGGTTGGAACTGTATGATCTTTAAGGTCCCTTCCAACCCAAACCATTCCATGATTCTATGAACTCTTCTGAAGAGCTTCAGTAGCTGCCACAAGGTGGGAACCAGGTTTCTGGGACTGCAGCACTAATTGAAAATTGCACATGCAGTTTCTGGTACATGCTGTACTCCAGAAGGTTCACAAGACAGATGACCAATTTTGAGGTCTTCATTGACAGACTGGTAGCTCACAGCCATCCTCCTGTGCCCGTGGTTTCTGTCATAACCCTCATTGCCTCTGTTGTCAGTGTCTCCTTTTGCCATCAGCACTGTCTGCAGCAGTGCTCCTGCAGAATTCAAGTTAATAAGCCTGGCTTCCTTCGTTATTTTGGAGCAGTATTCCATACCTCTCCTATTATGTTGACTTGCTGGACTGAAAAAGAAATGGGTGGAATCTGGTTTTCATATGTTTTTTTATGGTTGGACTCAATGATTTCAGAGGTCTTTTCCAACCAGAAGATTCTATGATAAGATGATATGTTCAAGTTTGGTTTTTTGTCACAAAGGAGAACTCAGAATGTGATTTAAAAAAAAAAAAATGCTTTCCAAATCAGACCTCCATCTTAACAATTTGTTTGTAGCTTGTACAGTCATTAGTAGAATGTAATCAGAATTGCAGTATTAAACTGCTAAACACCTCTTGTTGCTGAAGGTTTCCCTTGTGTTTCTTTAGGCTACTCTGAAAAGATTTGAATGATTGTGGTTTGCTACCCAAAGAGCTTTTGCATTTATTTCTTGGTCTGCTGTTGATTTCTTCTGTATTTGTTGATGCTACTTTACATTTGTCTGCACTAGTTTATCTTTTATAGATGAGTTTTTTCATTCCCAACTGTAGTTATGCAATGAGGCTAAAAGTATGGGACAGTCAAGACAGGAGAAAAAAATATGAGTATGCTAAATTGTCTTACTTCACAGTGGAGAACTATATAATTAATTTCTTGCAAGTAAAATGAGGCCAGCAAAACACTTGACTGTCTTTCTGCTAATTGTCATTAATACTTGACCTAGGAAATGCAACAATCCTTTTCTGAATGTCACTTTTCTTCAATAAATAGGATATTGATTGGGTTCAGACAGAGAAACACGTCTTTGAACAGGCTTCAAATCATCCCTTTCTTGTTGGACTACACTCTTGCTTCCAGACAGAAAGCAGGTAAAGGTCAAAAGATAAGAAGATAGTCTAATTCAAAAAGTATTTCTTGCTGTTAGGCACCTCAAAGACCTATTTAAAGCATTAAGTGTTAGGTAGGCAGCAAAAGTCAACGCACTGTAAATCCTTGTAGCAGTTTATGAGCAAAAGGCTGTTCATCACCTGAGCTGTTCAGATTGGGGAGATGCAAAAGAGTGTAAGGTACTGGTAGGTATGATGGGAAGGATTCTGGATAGGAAGAGAGGTGCAGCTAGCAGAAAAAAAGGCTTAAGAATATGAATTAGAAGACAGAATCTAGAATGGGAGGGGAAAAAAGGTTTAGGGAGGGAGATATCAGAAGTCAAAAAAATGAGGAAAATTATCTCAAACTTGCATGGATTCTGAAGATGAGTCTCTGAGCAAGACTTGAAAAATAGTGTCTGAATTTTAAAAAGGAAAACAGAGTAATAGAGATGCAAAATATTATTTTCCTGTGTGTTTATATATAGGAGAAGAGATTGCAGTGGATTAATAAATTACTGTTCTATACAGTAGTAATTGTCCGTGTATATATAAAATATAGTTCTTGTATATTTAAACAACATCCCTGCTATTTGAAAGGTGGGAAGCTAGTGAAAAGTAAGAAGAAAGAGTATTTGTAATATACTAATAGTATTAATCACAAACAAAGGAGATTAAAGAGATCAGGAAGGAAAATGAGGAATTTATTTTTTTTTTTTGGGGCATAGAAACTGATGTGGATCTATTTATATAGTCACATATGTAATAATGACAAGCAGTGGCTGTAACAGATTAGGAATGTAGGAAGGATTACTTACTTTCCTTTTGCTAAATTCCTCAGTAAAGGAATTATCTAGAGAAACTTTGTATGCTTGATTTTAACTTTGGGAATTTATTCAAAGGGAGAGAAAATGGTGAAACCAGCCATATTACCATTAGGGATGAGAGGAGTTGAACTGACATTGATAACAGACCTGTAATGTCTCAGACCTCTTTCAACTTGTATACAATCATTTGTAACAAGCTCCTATGTGTTTCAGGTTATTTTTTGTTATAGAGTACGTAAACGGAGGAGATCTGATGTTTCATATGCAGAGGCAGAGAAAGCTGCCAGAGGAACATGCCAGGTATATCTAATTCCAGATTTCTTGCATCAAAACAGTTGGTTTTCTGATACAGTGCAGTAGTGCAGAGATTATGATGATGAGCTAGCAAATCCTCTCCCGATGTTAAGGATTTAAGGAATGTGAAACTGCATCCTCATTTTAATGCTGCAAGCTATCATATTTTTGTTTCAAGGAGGAACTGTGATAGGAAGCACTTAAGTATTGTTTGTATTAGCATTACCCTACATGACTTCAGTATGATTCTGAATTTTTTATCTAGAAAAACACGTTTGTGGTTTTTGGGGGTTTTTTTTAACTCTCTAATGATATTAATGTGTTTCTTTTACAACAACCACTGCCAGCTGTCCAGGCAAATGCTGAGTTCATGGTGCATATGCTTCATCTCAGATGGTGAGGTGAAAGAGAGGACTTTGGTAGACATTAATATTAATTAAAAATAATTTTTGAAGTGACTGTGGATAGAAATGTTTGTATGATTATAAACAACTTACGCACTTCTCTAATGAAAAATAATAGAATACATGGGATAATATTTAGGAAAGTATCATACTACCAAGACTACATTATTGTGGTTTGGGTTTTTGATTACTTGAATAATCAGTATGTCTTTCTACACTAGGTTTTATTCTGCTGAAATCAGTCTAGCATTGAACTATTTACATGAACGAGGGATAATCTACAGAGATTTAAAACTGGATAATGTGCTACTAGATTCTGAAGGGCATATTAAACTCACGGATTATGGCATGTGCAAGGTAAGCTCTAGTTCCTTGCTAACCAGTAAAATTGGCAATTAAGAAATTGTCATGCATTAGAAGATGCAGAGACTTAAAAATGTGAAATTTCAAGGTATTAATTTATGTAAAGTGCAGACAGGCTGTATTGACATATTGAGATTTCTTTTCTTCAAATGGAGAAAAGCCAATAAGTGCTGAAGTGCACAGACTACATCTATATACTGTTTATGTTTTTATAAAGCTACTGTACCAACTTGACTGGGAGGGGTAGGCTGAAATAGTCAACATAACTTGATTTCCAAAAGAGGAAGAGGTTGAAATATCTCAGTCACACTTGCTCCCATTTGTGTTCTATGACACTTCCCATTTTCTCTATGAAAACTTGTCACTACCAAGACGCTGGAGCGCAGGTTTGACTTTGCCGTGGAATTGCCCTTATGCTGATCTATTAGAATGATTTTAAATGCTAGAATTTTGACTAAGCAACTGAAAAGCATAGAATAATAGAAGTTGGAAAGGAGCTCAGGAAGGCTCATCTACCCTCCTGCTCAAAGCAGCTATAAGATCAGGCCAGGTTACTGAGGGCTTTATCCAGTTTGGTCTTGAAGCCTTCCAAGGATGAAGACTGCACAACTTCTTTGGGTAACCCATGCTCTTCTCTGAAAAACACATATCTGTCCATTGCAACACCCCAGTCATGTAAGCTCTTCCACCATGCCTCAGTTATTCCTGTTTGCCTGTTGTGGGAGATGTGGTGGAGTTTACTAGCCTAAAACCTTAAAAAATAACGTTGTCAGTAGCTATGTGCCATCCTTTTGGGACTCTAGATATGACCCGCTTCTGTTTCTTCCGAAACAAGTAGTGTTGTGTATTTATTTACATACAGATTTAAGTATAGTTTTATTAAAACGAAAGCAGTTTATTCAGGACACTGAAATGAATTCAAAATTAAGTTCTTAGCAGAGGGGGAGTGTGGGATCTTTAGCTAACTGTATTTTCTTCCCATCTTTTCTTAAAGGAGGGACTGAGGCCTGGTGACACAACCAGCACGTTCTGTGGGACTCCAAACTATATTGCACCTGAAATTCTCCGGGGAGAGGATTATGGTAAATTGAATTTTTCAGTGCTACAATATAACTTTCATTTGTCTCTTACTTCTTACTCAAGCTGTTTAGCAGTAGAAAGTATAAATCTCTGTTAGACACAGAAATCTTAATTCAGCATCTTGTCTGAAAAGGTAAATAAACCCTTCAAAGGAAGGGCAGAAAACATCACACCAAACAAATGAGATACTTTGCCTTCCACATGTTAAAATTTTTTTTATCAGTCTTGAAGAATAGCTTGAGTCTTCCAGATTTATTATTGTTTATAACTGTTTTAAAACTAGTAATTATATACTTGCAGTCTTGAATTGTGTTCAGTTTTGGAGCTTTATATTTGGCAGCAGTAACAGTATTAGATATAAATGCATTGCAAAGGGTCTAGATATAGTAGATGTCCCTTCCACAAATCTCAGTGTTAAAAATGAAATTATCTATGCAGTTGCTTGTTCAGGAAGTCCACAAGCAAGAGACCTAAGAGAGTATGGAAGGCTCACTGTGTGTGTTTCCTGTTATTTGTCCTTTCTTTCTAAGCTTCCAACTATGCCAAGCAGATCTCTGATCTCTTTTCTTCCCTTAAGATTTTAACAAGTTCTAAAATTAATTTATATTTTTTAAAAAGTATGTGTATTATTTTTAAATCTACCATCTTACTTCAATCAAATGTCTCTTTCAGACTGCTTTCACATCTTCCTTCCTTATTGCAAACTTTCTAGGCCAACCAGACTGTATCAGTCCCAGCTTAGCTACTGGAATTTTTTTCTTTAGCAGCAAATAGTTGAATAGATACGCTTAGCTCCATAAATGAAAGTCTTGCTACTGTTAAGAATTTCCTGTTGGTTAGTAGTGACTAGGCTTAAATATTATCTAAACCTTTGATGAGGTCCTGACACCAACCTTTAAACTTAATTGCATTTCCTTTTCTTTGTACAGCATTCCCTCCTATCGCACACATAATGAACTGAGTAATGTCTAGTAAAACTGTTACTTCTCCTTTATTCAGTTAATCAGAAAGTCTGGCAATACACATATATTTTAAAACTAAATCTTTCTTCTCAAAACATGTCTGTTTTTAGCCCCAAAACTGTTGGTATTTTTGCTCCAGAATATTTTCACTGGTGTTTTCTCCTTTGAATTCTAGGCTTCAGCGTAGACTGGTGGGCACTCGGTGTGCTTATGTTTGAAATGATGGCAGGGCGGTCACCGTTTGATATTGTTGGGAGTTCTGACAATCCTGATCAGAACACAGAAGATTATCTTTTCCAAGGTTAGTACCACGAGTGTTCCTACACTTGAGTGCTTCGTTTCTGCTTGCCTTTAATCTAACTTTAAAGGTGCAAAGGCTGATATGAAACTTGTTTCCTTGCAGTAATTTTGGAAAAACAGATCCGAATTCCCCGATCCCTTTCTGTTAAAGCAGCAGGTGTTCTAAAGAGTTTCCTTAATAAGGTAAGAGCTAAAGGGGACTATTTAAGACTTCTCAAGAAGCTGTTGGGTTTTTTTAAACCTGTTGGCTAATTGATGTCTAGCAGACATACTTTATTTGCCGTATACTGAAGCAGAGTAGAAAAGGTGTGAACCTAAAGCAGAATTTTTGTGGGGCTGAGGGATCTATTCTAGATACTTATTTCTAAAACTGAAGCTCTCGATTCTCAGGCTGAGATCATGAATAGATTTCAAATCAAAAGGCTTCGAAATGCTCAGAGTGATTGCTTTAACCTGGGGAATTGGGCAAACTTACTGCATCTATTTTGGTTCTTAAAGAGAAGCAGCTTAGCAAATCACTCTGACAGTGGCTCAAGGGCAATGCAGAGGCAGTATGTGCTCACTGTTTGCTGGTCACTAACCAGCCTGAGGGTGAAAAGGTTCGTATCTTGTAGTGGACTGGTCTGAGCACATGCTGGCCTTTATTTAATGAGTGTTACATGAGTGGGGAGAAAGAGGTACAGGAGAAACCAGATTTGGTTACATCTTTCTAAGGAAGTAATACTATATAAGAGCACAGCTTCTGTTGCAACTTCTTGGTTGTGTGTGCACACATGTACAAGGAGATGGAACTGTCTTGTTAAAACAACCTTATTTTCATTTATTTCATTTATTTATTCATTTATTTATCAGTATCCTGCAGTTACTACCCCGAGACTGTCTTGTTAAAACAACCTTATTTTCACTGTATTTATCAGTATCCTGCAGTTACTACCCCGATGTGATGGCCTGGCATAGTTAGTCTGCTTAGTGAGGGGTGGGCTGGGGCCAAGAATCAAATTCACTTGTAATCTAACAATGTTTGCTCTGAAATATATGGGATGTTTAAACAGGTCTGAATAAAAATGAAGAAAGATGGCATGATTGTTTATATAAAATTCTGTTAAAGTCTTCACATACTCATGCCTATTTCAGACAGTAAACTGGAACAGTTTCCAAAATAAATAACGCAGACTTAGTTTTTCAGTGTCCCTTGTAACTCTGGTGTTTCATTTCTGACAGAATCTGTAACATTTGCATTTTATTCATGTGTAGACCATGGCACCTAATTAGACATAGTTTCTTCCTTGTGCAGGATCCAAAGGAACGCTTGGGCTGCCATCCTCAAACAGGATTTGCAGATATCCAAGGACATCCATTCTTTCGCAATGTTGATTGGGATCTGGTATGTGAATGCCGACTGGCTTATTTTCTTTGTATACAGTGATGGCCTGACAACATGTTTTGAGCATGAGAGATGACTTAAAACTTAAGCTTTTAACTTATGGTATACCATAATGACAATACAGAGTATTTTAACCCTTTTATGTACAGTAAGTATAGTAGATTAATTGACTGCTTGTAGAAAGTATACAAAATAAACTTAATAGTAACCTCCAGCCTTGTTTAAAAATAACTCAATAGGTTGTACCTCATTCTCAGTGTCACTAAGTGCATTTATTCTTAGATGGAGCAAAAGCAAGTGGTGCCTCCATTTAAACCAAATATATCAGGAGAATTTGGTCTGGATAATTTTGATTCTCAATTCACCAATGAACCTGTGCAGCTCACTCCAGATGATGAGTAAGTAATGTAGAATCTTAAGATGTTCTGATAAGTCAGTGAAGGAGCTATAAAACTTCATTTAATAGCTGTAGTTTTAGTACATAGAGTGTGTGTAAAGCAGCAAATAACTTGTAAAGCTTGTGTTAGTTTGGAGAAAATTGTTATGTAGATTTAGCGTGGCTGGATTAAGTATTGTAGTCTGGCATGGTGTAAAAATCAGCTAACCTCAGGAAAGTTGTGGTAAAGAGTCTGAGTTCAGGGAAAGATCAATAAGTGCTATTTCACTAGTTTTAGTGGCATCATCTGCAAGAAACGGGCTTGTGAAGGAAAAGATTTGTTTTGTCAAGTGATTTACTTTTGCATTACTTTAAGCCATGATATTTCTAGAATGTTGGGTTTAGATTTAATTTATCTTGGGTGTTCTGGACAAGGGAGGAGGCTTTGTTTGGCTTGTTTGGTATTTTAGATTGTTAATAATCAGGTGAAATTATCCTGGCTGAAAAGTCTTGATAACATGCATGGTAATGTGTTTGATTTTGGTAGTGGATTTGTGGTTCCTTATTCCTGAGGGGCCTGGATTTGGGATGAGGAGGGAAGGGACTTTCTACTTTGACTGAGCCGCCGCTGTTTGCGTTTTAGGCATTTTTCTAGGGTTTTGTATAATGTTAATGTAGTATTAAATGTTACCTGTGTACCTTAATTGGGTCTGGGATCCAACTTCCTTCTTCATCCCTTTGTAAATGCATAAAGTTAACAATGTCACAAACAGTTAAACTATCACAACATATAGAGTTCAGAAAAGTTGCTGATGCAAGTGCAGTATCTATCACATCCTAATGTTTCCAGTTTTTTACGAAACTGACTGTTTGTGAAATTGTTTGAAAACTGCCAACCTTGCAGTTTGCTTTATGGGGAGAATACGTGCATGGGAGCAGCCCAGTCACTGCTGTCGGGTGGTTTTGTGTTCTGTTGCCATTATAGGGGCCAGAAAAACAACGGTGGTAATTGGAAGGTTAAAGAAGGACAAAAGAGAGAAGGGAAATGTTCTCAATTGCAATCGGGTGTAAAGGTCTAAATTTTAGGACAAGCTATCAGTTACTATAATTTCCTTTTTAATTTTGCAGAACTAATGGCTGTTTTTTTAATCTTAACAGTGATATTGTGAAGAAAATTGACCAATCTGAATTTGAAGGCTTTGAATATATCAATCCTCTTTTGATGTCAGCTGAGGAATGTGTCTGAATTCTCCATTTCTGGACTGTGCCAATTGTTACTCTGTTTGTTTCTGCATGGATAAACATCTCTTCATTTGGATGCACTTGTGTAAAACAAGGAACTGAACATCTTCCCCTTGCCACCTGGTGTGAATTACTCACTGATTTTCTTTTTGTATTAATTGTCATCCAGGACAGTTGTTATGCTAAACCTTCAGCTGCCACATTTAAAACCTTAAACTTCCCAACAGTCTTGCCAAACTTGAATTTTAATATAGAAGTTGGTCTCTGAGGCTGCTGACTGAACAATGGACTCTGGCTGTATAATCTGCCAATACAGCGTTCTGATAAAGGAAAGTGTTCTCATTGCTTTAGGAATACAAATTGCATTAGAGGATGTAATAAAATATTGTTAAAGGACCTTCCATTTTTCCAGCAAGACAAATAAGACTTCTGTAATTCTAAATCTCTTCTCTCTCAACATCTGATTTCCCTGCTCTCCTTAGACTTAGAGCTACGTTACTGCCCTTCAGATTGAAATGACAGCAAGGAGAGCAGATTTTTAAATTGATTAGGTCAAGAACGGCTGCTTTCATAGGACTTATTGATCCTATCCAAAAGGAGATGATTCACTCAATATTAGAATCAATAGACTTGGCTCCAAAACTTTACACTAGGAATTGTATGCTGTTTGATGCACAGAGTGCCTTCCTGAGCCCGTCCCTTGCAGCGAGGGCTGTATATGGTATGAAGTGTCAGTTTAAATTTAAAGTGGAATTCAATTGATACTTTAAAAAGTTAAAATCTGTAAAGTGTAATTTATCAGTAATGGGCAGCTGATATTGATGGATGTAGAACCTCATACTATTATTTATTGCTTTTACACTTGTTGTCTTAACTGTATCAGAACTTCATATGTTACAGCTGTGGCCTAGATAAGGGCATCGTTTCCCTTTTTTGGGGTTTTTTTTTTGTTTGTTTGGTTGGGTTTTTTTGTTTTTAATTTGTTTTTTTTACTGCCATACTGTTGGAAATGCATTCAACTCTGCCAGTGGAAAAAGCACATCTAGAAAAAAGCAGGTGCTGTCCACAATGACTCCCTTAACTTCTCCACTTAGAGCTGCTGATTTGTAATCACAATCAAACCTTAAACGCTGGCAGTAGACTCAAAGTTAATAGTAAAGCAATTGGAGTAAGAACGGTTCAAACTAGGACTTTTGGGAGGTGTGATTCTTACATTTCATGTTGGTAAACAGTGTAATGTACAGCACAGATAATTCTTATTTTTAATGTTTAAGGAATAGTTTTGAATGTCTTTAGGCTGAAGAAAATGCCAAATGTACCACTTTTTTAAAATTTTTCTTTTGGAGAAAAGGGATTAAGAGACATTGAAGAAAAGAATCTGTGTTATAAGTTAAGAGCTGTAAGGCAAGCTGAGTGTTACTGAAAGCAGATCTCAGTGTCTGTAAGCACAAGTTAGCAAACCTTATGTGAAGCTTTTAATCAGGCTTCTGCTTGGTCGGTGTCTCTCCTTGAAAATCCTCGTGTAGCGACACTGTCAATTCATAGCACAAATCTTCCGGTGTATGTTTTATCACTTACACCTTAGCTTCAAGGAGAAAGGTTGCACAAATACACAGTAGTGTTGTGATATGGTATTTAGGGCATATTTTTCTTTTCAATGTGAATAGGAAACTCTTTTTAAGTATTGGGCTGAGTTTTCCAAACTGGGAGGTGATTGGAGGGGGGGCCTCAATTTCAGGGAAGCATTGAACCTCCTCACTGTTAAAAAATAAAATTCTCTTAAACTCAAGTTGTATATTTTTCAAATGTAAAATATCAGAGTAAACCTACTTTTAAAGAGCAGCTAAGAACTTCAGCACGTTTAGTTCACATCAAGTGAACTGCTCACATGCGGTTTTAAAGTGGTGACTAATTGTTTAGCCTCTGACTTCTCTAGACCCGCATGACTAGTTTAGACATCAGGACTTAACTGATGTTAAACTTGGAAGTTATTTAAAGCAAACAAGAAAAAGCTTGTCTCTAATGGGTTAATTTCATATGGGTTATCAAGTAAAATGGCTTTATGTACGGAAGGGCATTTCTGCTATTTGTCACAGAAGAGTAATGGAGTAAAACACTGTCTTTTGTGCTTAAAACAAAAATTTTGGGGTTTTTTTTATAGATAATATCACAAAAGATACTCTTTCTATTTACGTATCTACCATTAAGAATGTTGCTAGGTGACAAACATCTTAAATGACTGTAAGTCCGTTTTTAAACTTTAATTTTCTCCAAAGTGCCATGATTATTCAGTTATTTTTCATTGTTTCGTGTACCAACCGTCATAAATATCGAGAAGGGACACTGGGTGTCAGCAGTCCAGTGCAGTAGGCTTTGTCTTTGGGAGAAAGTGTCTGCATCAGAAGCACGATGTATTTATGTGGAGTAACCTCCTTTTTGTACGCGAGTTGGATTCTCATGGGTGCTCTGTTAGTTAATATTGTCACTACTGTTTTCCTGTTTCATAGGGAATATGGTCTGGAACGTTGTTGTATAATCATTCCCTTTATTTGTGCACACTTTTTACTTTAAATAAAATATTTACGTTGGGCCTCTGTGTGTTCACCTTTTAAAACAGATACTGCAAAATGCTGGGCTCTGCTTGGGATTGTTGTCTGAGCTTCAATTATTCAGGTCCCATGGGAATGTTGTTCTAATATTTTTTTTTGCTAGAAGATAGCACTGGGATAGACCATAGCAACCTAAAAAAAAATTACCTCCCTCAATCTTTGTTTCAATATCTGTTTATTGACACTTTAAAAGAGATTTCCTCTTATGATCTGCCTCGTTATTAAGAGTCTATATCAGCAGTCCTAGGCAAATGCTACAGATGGTTGCATATCTGAAATGCTTAACCTCCCCCCACGCACACTCCTTGTTTCTGCTCAGTTTGGTGGCCAACTGCTCTCGGCTCAGTCTGAGCAATTGTTTATGTTAAGACACTCTATAAAAGAAATTAAATAGCTTGTGTATTCTATATATACTTGATACTTTAACTGCTAAGCATGCGTCCTCACTTCATGGTGGATGGCATAAGCAGTTTAACCAGAAAGGTATCTGAAATTGCCTATAGATTAATGATTCTTTCCTGGGAAAAGAGGAAAAAAAAGGAATTTAATCGTATCTTGGTTTGTTTTTTTTTAAGAGTTCTCTTAGGGTTGAAGACTTTTTTTTTTCCTGCTTTTGATAAAGGGATCTGAACTGCATACTTGAAATGTGTGATCTTACCATTATGTATTTAATCACCAAATTATGTATTTAAGCATCTACCTCTGGGATCTGTGTGGCTTTTGTGGGAGGTGGGCTTTTTCAGGCATAAATAGAACCAGAAATATGTTGTGTCTTGTCCTCATTTGACTTTTAAGCTTGAACAAAGTGTCTGGGCTTAAACCCTTCCTACGTTGGGTGGTGAAGGATTGAGTGGAACAGATGAATTTTGACCTTGTAACCAAGTCAGAGTTCAAGTTTTTTGTTAGTTGTAATGTTTTGTACAGAGCTGTTTCCAAAGTAATTTGTCCTGTAAGATGTGCTGCCTGATAAAGCTCATCAACTTTCTGTGGTTTACCCTATTACTGATATCACAGTATCTCCAATACAGTATCTTGTCTCTCTTACTCTGTCACAGCAGGTTTCACAAGAGTGGTCTTAATTATTACAACTTCCCATTAAAAATTGCCACTATAATGATTTTTCTTTAAAATGTACAAACTAGTATCTTCAGAAAAGAAAATGCAATATTTTTTCGTTCACTTTTAAATTGTGTTCTTAAGCATCTTTAGAGACTGTGTATGTGGAAACAATTAAAAAAAAATACTTGTTTCTGTAGAAAACCCCCTTTGTTCATAAATATGCAACTTGAATCTTAATTCACAAAACTGTGACAAAGTTTTTAGCAGTTTGACAAACAACTTTGTATCTGTGTCCACCAGCTCAACTGAAAGATCATTTTATTTTGCTTTAATATAGTCTGTGGCACTTCACTCTCTATGCAGTAGTTTAAAGGATTTATTTTGATTTGCACTTAGAAATGCAGATTAGTGTCTCACTTGCCTCTCTCCTCAGTGTGAGAGTGGAAGAGGTATCGACCCCAGCAACTGTCAGAGGTGGCCTGCAAGGAATTCAGAGTGGCAAGTATGTGGGGAGGATGGGACTCACTCTTTTATTTTAAACACTTTTTTTTTTATTCTTCATGATATTTTTGTAGGTGTGTGTTTTTTGCATGTGCCCTGCTTGGTATTATTGGAGAAATATATGAAATAAAAATAATATACTTTCTAGGGAGCTGTTTGCTTTCCTCTACATTATTATTATATATCACTCATTTTTTTAATTTTAACTGAAAATGAAACTTTCATAGTCACTGTTCAATTGTAAAGTAAAAATTTATTTTTTTAAATAATAATTTTTCTTCTTTAGACCTGACTTGGAAAAGACAAAAATTCTGTACAGCCTTGCCTCAGTGTTAAACCTGAGGTGCTGAAACCAAGCAGTGAAGGTGCTATGTGTGAATTACATTTTAAGGCAACCTTAAATGTTAATTTTTCTTAGCTTCCAGAGAGCTTCAGCATGTCTTGAAAATTCAGAGGCATTAATAACAAAAGCAAGATTCCTCCTGTGCTGTTAGTGCAATACATTACATCTTGCAGAGGCCTGTAACTCGGGTTTCAGTTGCACAGTGTCTTTGTAACTGCTTTTCACAGCTGACAGTAAAAGTTGTAGGCAGAGTTATCTTTTTTTTTTCTTTTTTTTTTTTTTTTTTTTAGACAATCCTCTACCTACAAACTTTGTCTTACATCGCCTGATTATTATAGCTCTATAGCAACACTCTCATCACGGCACAATAGTTAGCAGAATTTGCAACCTGAAATGGAAAATGTGCAGCAGAACTTGAAAAACCCAAATTAAGCATTGCCACCAAACTCCTCAGCTTCCATGACATCAGTAGGTCTAATAAAAGATATAATATCTGCCTACATATGTTGCTTTCCTGACATCCATAGATCATTCCAGCTCTGGTATTAGAAATTGCCCATTTTTTTCAGTGAATTTAAAATAGAAACGTGACATAGTGTGTTTCACTGATTGGTATTTGAAGAGAATTTTCTTTTAATCAGAT